GAAAGATGCAGCTCGAGATGTGCGCAAAAGATTACCTAGAATTTTGCGGCATTCGTCCACTCCCAGGACAACCGCTGCGTCAATCTGTTACCTTCCCGTTCACTCTATCCTCTCTAAACTCACTTCAGAACCTCGACACAATCGATTTCCGCTTCATAGGTCCCGAGCACAACCTCGCCGAATGTCCTTGGAAAGGCCCACACTCCTGCCAAAAGAAGTGGATAGACCTCTTCTTCGTCGCCGCCTGGGACGCTTTGAACATGCTCAAGGGCTCCAAGGGAGTTAAGTATAGCATGAGTGGATGTATAAAGAACTCTGCGCGGCACTATTGGACGCGGCTTCTCAACGACAGGAGCGTCGACCATACGGCTGGTGTCAAGGCGATGGAAAGACGCATGCAAGTGACTATGACGGACGATGCGAGCCTAAAGTGCGAATGCACGAATCCTTGTATAGGTGGGAGTGGGTTGTTCCAGGTTGAGCCGTTTGAACTGAGGCTGATTGAGGGGTTGCAGGCGGAGTTGGATAGGGCGTATTGGGATTTTGAGGATTAGGCGGACAAGGATGTGGATGAAACATGATGCGAGGCGTTTCCCGTTGTTGTTGTGATCTGACACTCACTGCAACTAAATTTGACGCGTTTTAAGAAGTTAGCAGTAAGACCAGTGTGATTGGTATCGATTTTCGGACGAGAGTGCATTCATAAGATGGTGATCTGCTACGTCATGCTCTAGTCTCAACATAGTAAGTGCAATCGCGCTGTCACGTGTGGTGTCGGAAGCTTCGGGTGGTCTAAACACTTCCGCTTTCGACTCTCACTTATCCTTTGCTCGTCTAGACAGTAATTGTCCGTACACGATTTTCTTTCCTTTAGCATCTTATTGCATATACAGATACCTTTTCTTACACCAATAATCATGCTCTTCTGCTCGCAAAGCAAAATCTGGAGGACGACCGGGTTGCCGTCTTTAACAGAAAACGACGCGTTTTGTGAGCTCGAAAGCGCAGCAAAACTGAGAACCGCCAATTGGTAGACAATCCACAAAGCCACATGCAAGGTCTGATCGGATACTCCCAATAATACTTCAATCTCTGCCTGAGAGATGCATTGCAGCTTGCCGATGGCCAGACCAGCGCACAGCTCTCGGAGATGTTTACCTTCTGAGCTGCAGTCCTGATAGCCGCAGCACAACGGGTATATGGTGGTTGTACGAACGCGCCGTCAAGAAGCGTTACTGGCTGGTGTCCTCAAGACGATTGTTGGTTTCGCCCTTTTATCCGATCTGGACGGTTTCAAGTGGTCGTCAAAGAACCATGGCCTCGAGTGCGCATCAATCAGCTCCCAGAGCCGCGTGGAGGCTGTGCGTCTGCCAGTCTGCGCTCTTGCCTTAACGAGACGGCCGCAGTCTGCATTAAAACTCTGCTCGCATCCTTGCGCTATTGCCTTCATCGGACGTGGGAGTGTTGCGCAGGCACACACACACATATACGACCAACAGTTGCGTTGGCGTTTCAAATGCTGTGCCGTCCTGCGTTTTGCGGACCGGTCAACATCGCTTGCATGCCGGCGGAGGAGAATATCAGCCAATGACCGTCTATCTTTACCAATCACAGCCACACAGTAAGTGGCTCACCGTTCCTGTGAAGCTCGTGCTTCCTTCTAGAAACAAGGATTGCACGCATCAATCACGCATACGAACAAGGCGACGTACCCGAGGCCAATCAGCCTGGGAGACGTGCAAGAGATGCAGCGACGGAGCGAGGTGGCAAATATGTGGGAAGCTTACTTGAGTAAATGCTCAACAGGGACCGTGCAACATCACTACACTTGGAGAAGTGAAGACGATGCTTTGACCATCGTGCATGCGTCAACTAGGGACGTCGGGCGTAGGGCCACACTACGTTGTGCATGGAAGAAGCTACACAATGTTTTGTGGGAAAGAACCTTGCTGCGTCCGCTGCCATGTGGGCTGTGTTCGCAGCAGAATCGGGACACCGAGCAGTAGGAAATTCAGACGACACCGCCGTGTTTGCGATGACTGCATCGTTCAAAGACGATACCAAACCGCTACCAGCGCTTGCAGCGCTCCACTACACATTTATCCGGATGGTAGTTTTGTGGCGCTGTTCGCTAATTTGCTGACCGCAGCTCTTTCGTGGCGCCAGCCTGTGCAGTCTTGTACCACTTCGATAACGCAGAACCCTGATGGGCGTCTCTTATCGATTTGTAAGGAAAAAAAGGCTGCAAGACTGAGAGTTTATGGTGACCTTCCGAGCATCGCTTTCTGCTTCACATGTCGCCTCGGCTGTAAGAGATGGGCTGAAGTTTTCTGATCACCGATGAACAGTCCAGGAAAAGATGCCCATCGCTGTAGACATCAGCGGAATTTAATCTCCCGAACTGTTTCCCCTGAGCAAACTTGATTCTGGGCCACACAGCAACTGATTTTGCACGTTGACATATCTCGCCAACGTTGAACACATTTTACCTTCACTCTTGTCGTTGAGACTATGTTGTTGGCTCGCTTGGAAAAAAGAGAAGGCTCTGGCTGGCAAATTATTGCTAACTTCCAACATACTAGTAAACCGTGGCACTGCGCGTCCCCGGATCCTGGAATTTTGGGGTCCGCATACAATTGCGACGGTGTGAAGATACGTCGCACGCGTCAGGCGTGTGCCATCGAAACTTTGCGTCTTAGCTTTGTTCGGGGGTGCTCTCTCTCCGACTCGGCCTGTATCTATCCCAGGTACGCCTTGGCGCCGACCGGGAGCAATGCCTTGTTCAAGCGTTATCCCGAGGCAGCGATGAGATTGCGTACGCAAAGTGCACGCGACGACCAACAAAGCTCTTGGTGCTGCAGAATGACGAGGAGAAAGTACGAGAAAAAGAAAGCAAAAGTACAGATTGCTGCAGCGCATAGACCTACTACCAGATGACAAAAGTCCATCCCTGCCAGGCACGTCCTTCGGACGTACAGTCCAATAGATTCGTTTACATCGTTTGGCGCGCTTGTGTATTCCCGACTCCTTATGAAAACGCCCAAAGAAAAAATGTAAGATTACATCTACTGCAGAACTTAGCGTGGTAGCAATGGGCGAACGAGACGAATCTTGTTGGTAGGCCCTGACTAGTGACGCGGTAAGACACCTGCAGAGAGCTGGAGGGCTGCAGCCCCGCGCTTGCCGCTACGCCCACCATTTGAGGCCCACGCGTTCTTTGCTCAAGATTTTGTCAGCGCACGTAGCATGCACATCCAAGGAGTAAAGACTCCTAGCATCTGATGATGTAGAAGCAGTGCATGGCGAGATTTCAGCCCCCCAATCGCATGCGTTTCTCCTGCAGCGCTCTGCCGGTGAAGGTCTGAAACTGCAGCCACATTTTCGCCAAACGCGGTTCGGCAACATCACCACCTCCGGCTATGGGGACTGACGGGCGTCTCTTTATCGCGAAAGATCCCAGATTCTATGCATGAGCCCTACCCATCGCAGCTGAAACGAATCTCCGTCTTTACATCGGACGTAACGCTCCCTGTCAATCGACTAGGCTCGGTAAGCAGCAACATAGGTCGCCAAAGCTCCACTACACAATACGCAATGGCCAAGCGCTCGTTCGGGAAAAGGGTATGTGCCTTGGTCGTGAGGCTTCAACGTGGTCACGAAAACGGCCACTGGGATACTCATAAGTGTGCTATGGACGCGTATGCGCATTCCCCTCTTGCTCGTTCTGCGGATATACTGATTTGCATACGCAAGCTGGAAAGGTCTCTCGCCAACCACGTTCTCACCTTGCACATCAACTCTCCATCTACGCCTTGAACATCCGGCCACTACTCGACAGCTGCCTCTTCTCAGCGCTTCCATCCGAACGATAAACCATATAAAGCGAGACACCCGCCACACGAAGCTCACCATCAATCGTTCACTCAGACTTCCTGATGCGCAACACCACACTTGACGACAGCCCAACTGCTTGACCTTTACGCCCAACCACGTCCAAGCTTCATACAAAGCATCTACCTCGGTGTAAGATGTCTCGTAATAGTAAGTCAGCCTATCATGCCGTCTCCACCTCCGATCCCACTCCTTCCTACTACCGACTTGCTGCGCCTCACTGTGGCGCAACATACTTCCTGGAGCCTAGCGGCCCATCTCAGCCGCACCATCAACCAATGCCGGTTTGGCTTCCTCGATCGCTCTGCTGACCCACCTGTTCCTAGCTCATCCTTACGCTGTCAAGCTCCCGTCCCGTCGCTCACTCGCTCCTATCGGTATCCCGAATCATCGTGACGCGCTTGCCGTATACTTTCGCTGGGTGCGACAACGATATTATCGCGCTGAAGGTGTAATGCGGGCAGATTTGGCTTCCTCTGTGGAGTCGGTGGCCAGCTCAAGCGACGCATCCAGTGGGGATGATGAAAGCGACTTTGCGCAGCCTCGCACGAGGTTCCAACGCGACACCAAAATGCTTAGCATCGATCTACTAAGCATTGGTGCGAAGTTCGAAGATGAAGGTATCGCGCTCGCGTACCCTGGCGAGATCGATGTTCGTGGCTGAGGGGCGCACGCTTGAGAAGCTCATTGAGGGGTACACGAGTATATGACGAATCGGCGTTCTGGAGCCGCCAATTTTGGCAGCGATGAACTTTCATATTTGGGTCGCGGGTAGACTCTAGCTATTTGTATAATCTTTGTACAGTATTGGAATGATGAATAAATTACTACGGACATCATCATCTGTGATATGCAGGCCGTCCAGTAGTGGGAGGCAGTGCAATAGAGGCGTTTCTGCATGAAGCGATGCGTTGGCTACATGTGCTGCGGCTGAAGCCTGGGCATTCTCACCCAGCCTGCAACAATCCTCTTTCTCTCTTTCTTGTACCGCGTTCTTGTAGCCTTGCGATAAAACACGCTCCTATTGCGAGACCCAGACAGCCCTTCACGAAACGAATATGCCAGACTAGACGACGCCGAACGCATACACATGCCGAAAACACGCCATCATGGACGAAGCCGCGCTGCTGGACGAGGCTATGCTAGCCTGGTTCCCTCCCTTGGGTACAGTTGAGCTCTCCACGCGGTCGACTTTCACGGAAACCGATCTGAGAGGCATCTCTGACTTGCTGTACCGGAGCGGCAAGCCTTCGTGGAGTCGCATTCCCCGCATATATACCACGCTTCGGCTCATCAACGAGCTAGAGGTCATCGATAAGTTCCTAGACCGTGGAATCACCGATCTGTCGTTACCATTCAAACAAAGAACATTGCCAGGACAACTCAAAGACCAGTCATCCCGGGTCCGGTTTCTTGACGTCCAGTCCAGGGTTCTCACAAAGGCGCTTGACCTAGAGAAGGAGGGTAGCAAGCATCGCCATTTCTCACAACCTGAAGAGGTACCCCTGAAGAAGATCGCTGAACTAGGAAAAGGAAGCTATGGATATGTCGACAAAGTCCTCAGTACCGTTACCTACCGTGAGTATGCTCGCAAGCAAATTCCCAGGGGCCGTACCTTCCGCCAAGATCGAGTCGTGCTACACGATTTTGAGAAGGAGCTACAGGCGTTGAAGAAGCTTTCGCACCAGCACATCGTGAGGTTGATTGGAAGTTACACCGATCCACAGTAAGACAACACCACAAACGACCCTTTTCACAATGTCGCTGATCAGAACTAGGTATGTTGGTATAATCATGGCTCCTGTCGCCGACTGTAACCTCAAAGCCATTCTGAACACCCATGTCTTGTCGCAAGAGACATATTCACGCGTTCGAACCTTCTACGGCTGTCTGGCCTCTGCCTTACGCTACCTCCACGAGAACCAGTTCAGACATAAAGACATAAAACCAGAGGTTGGTGAATTCGCAGAACTATCAATGGTTAGCAGCTGACCCGCCAACCAGAATGTATTAGTGAAGGCTCACGAAGTATACCTTACGGATTTCGGAACTACTCTCGACTGGTCAGATGTCGGCCATAGTACCACGACTGGTCCTGCCTCGAAGGGTACCATACGCTATTGCGCCCCCGAGGTGGCCACAAGCCTGCCTCGAAGGTCATCTGCGGATATCTGGTCTCTAGGATGTGTCTTCCTGGAAATGTGGACGAAGCTTTGCGGTCTATCGATATCAGACCTTGACTATCACATGGAGCTCCATGGCTCTGGATCAAGCTTGTACCATGCTAATTGCTCTGCAGTAAACGCATGGTGCGACATGTTATCATCTAGAGATAGTATTGACGCCCAAATACCTGGTCCCTGGATTAGATCCATGTTGCAAGCCGACCCTGAAATGCGCATTAGCGTTCAATCACTTGTCGAGGAGATCCACCATGCAAGCTCCGATCCCGAGATACCCGTTATCTTCGCTGGGCTCTGTTGCAACGAAGAACACGATGTCGCCGAGACTGTGGCCACATCTGTTTATCAAGCAAACATCATGAGTTCCAGGGCCAGCACTATTGTCTTTAGCACAAGACCTTCAACACCAATGCATGCGCTAGCAAGTCGTAACCCATTTTACAATCGCCCACTTTCTTATCCAGTAATCCCTGAGATGACTTTTGATCTCGAGGATAGACGATCCAACAGCAGCCCAGCAAGTGTTTCATCGAATACGACAGTTATTGCACGTCGCACGGGAACAAATCCATTCTGGGTAGACGAAGACACTTCTGGGGTGGCTTTGGAAGAGATGGGAATTGCCTTGCCGTACGAAAAGTCGAAGATCACGGATCGATCAAGACGATGTCACCCTATATTGAAGCCAAAATTAAACTTTCCAGATAAGGGCGACCAGCGTACAGTCAATGAGGTACTTTGCGAATGGCTAAGTGAATTCGCAGAAGACCCATTTTGGTCATTCACAATACTCACGGGATTTGAAAGACATCCCGGGTATCGCCTTCTACACAGACTTGGGGATAAAAAGACGCGTTTTCACCAGGCTTTGAAAGCGCTGTCGAACAGACTATTCGCTAGTCATGAGCCTGCCAATCAAGAGTTTATGCGAAACATTGTTAGCATCATGGATCGCATGGATGTTCCATATATTGTACACAGCCTTGGCTTCACCTGCTTTTATCCTGATGGAATCCTATCGGGGTTTGGCAAAGACAGTTCGATCGGAAGAGACGGTTCGATCGAAGTTGACGGCCTTCAAGCTTTGAGCCTTCTAGATAAATCACGTCGTAAAGCCCTAGAATGGTGGCACGACTGCTTGACAGCTCCCAGGCAGACGTGGTATGAGAAGCTGAAGTCAACACGGGTCATCTGCATTCAATTAGACCAAGTTGAGTTCACTCCCTTTCGTGTGGGTTGCCGAGAAGATCGATCTTCCGTCGAAACCTCCTCGTTACACCGGGAATCCTTTTTTGAGCTGAAAAACGCAGGCGCGAAACTCTGCGTTGGTGCCTCTTTCAAATATCTTTGCCAACGGTCGACAAATCCTCATATTAGAGCAATCGTATCTGACCCATCCAATGATCTGCACAATCTTGATCAAGTTTTAGAAGATTGGAAGCGCCAGCATCGATATGCCGAGGTAGGTAGAGCTAGTATCGTTTTCAAATAGCGAAATCCGTGGGTCTACCACCTTTCTAGAGTTCTAGTAGCGTTCTGCTACGTATTCTGACCCTCAGAGGGAAAGGTTTTGAAGAAAAGGGGGTGGACAGCACAGCTGCTGTCAGACACAAGCGATACATTGATACTTGATTGATAACAATAAAGTACGCACTTGTATTGAACTTTACATTACTCCCTGTGAAAACTTCCGTCCCTGCCTACGCAGTCTGCAATTGCAAGCTATTCGTAAAACCCAGCATTTCCCAATTCGCTTCATGGGTTATAATCGCGGATTGGCCATGAGTATGTGTTGTTTTCGCTTCGAAGAACGGTACCATTTGCTAGGGTGTAGAAGTATTTCAGCCATTCAATGTCCGTAGCTTGTATTGACCTTTGAAACAAGTAGCCCATGATTGACAACGGGTTCTTCACTCCTATGAGGATGGCTGGAGTCGGTTCGCTGGAGGTGTTCGCATGCTCGTGTCTTAGGCCCATCACCTAAAATGGGAGGTCTAGGTCAGCGCGGTGTTTAACAAAAAGAGAGAGAAAGGTAGGCACAACATCCATGTGCAGGTTTAATACGATGCAACCTAGGCCTGTCTCGCACCCACTTTACAACAAGACATTTGACCTGGCCCTCCAGTCTTGACTTACATGTCCCAATTCGTGCTGAAAAGAGTTCCTCATTCTAGACAGACCACTTGGTGTGAAAGTTTTGTCATACACCAGCAGTTGTCTGGGCTGTGCTCCTCGCGGTTCGTTTGGGAAGAACGCTGACGCCACGGCTGTCGCATGTGTGCCGCCATATACGACCTCGAAAGCCGCTTCTGCCCGAACGAGTGTCCATTGAAACTTCACTCCAGGATTCCTTGAGTTCCAATCTGTTGCTGCGGCCCACATGGTGTCGCTTATAAGCTGTCCTTGTCCTCCTGGCCATCCTGGATGATATGATATGTATTTGATGACGCTGCCAGGCTTAAACCGTGAGACCTGGTCCCGAAGACCAACATGAATAGCTTTTCTATCGCCTTCAGATTGAGTCTCACACTTGTATTCTGCTGTAGTCTCATCAGTAGGTGTTATTGGTACTGGTGTGGCCTCCCCGATCCCGGTTGTAGCGCATTCGGCGCCATCCGTCCCTTCGAGGGCATTATGGCTTGCTGTGTCTGATAGCTCGCCTGCTGGTACAGCAGCGGCTCCGAAAAAGGTTTTGTTACCATCCATTTTGGTGTATGGATTTAGCAGTGAGTGAGAGTAGAGTCCTCGTTGTGTGGAGTTGCGTTAGTAATGGGGTGTTTGCGTTTATTGGAAGGATGATAGGTCCACGTCGGTATAGTGTCAAGACGTTTTAGGGAAAGGAAGTGAAGGACAGTGGGATTCTGGTGTTGCGCGTATCTGCAGATGATAGAAAAGTGCGTTGGCGTGACTGGTACTTATAGACATCAAGCTACCACCGATATGTAAACGCAATCCATCCCCGCAGCTGATGCTCCAGCTTCCTGCGGCTGCGGCTCCGATGTCTTACGATTGTTTTGCTCAGCTTCGTAATACAAGTATGACACGAAAGCTCAGCTCTGGAGGATCGAAATATATCATTCGACCAGTTGAATTCCTCAATCCCTTCTCGACTCCAAGACGTGCCTACCAATTGCCCTATCCGTGAAAGCCCATGTCTCAGCTTGACGCAGTAAGATTCATATGTGCAAGAATTAGTGGTCTTGAACCCCCGATGAGGGTCATCTGATTGAAGAAAATTCGCATGAGGTGATACCCTTCCAGTGAATGTAGCCCTCACACCACCAAGTCCACCTGCAACTGTGGCGATCGAGTTTGATGTCTTTGTCTCATAAATATGTTTTGTGCGTTACAATGAGCTCTATCGAATGGGTATACTTAATATTTTGGAAATGTGACAAATTGCCGTGTAATCTCGACCAACAATAAATCAGAGCTCGCAGCACTTAGCAGAAAGCAACCCAGTCGCTATGTACTTCCAAGACCGATACATCATGTTTGAAGAACGCGTTATGATGATGTTTAGTTAGTGAGCTACTAGTATACAAAAGTCTTTCCTAACCAATCATTGAAAACATCGTTACTGATGGGCTGAAAAGACCTTTGGTATGCTGACGGCTGCTTAACCAGTCATCTTTATGATGTGTTGCCCAGGTATGTGGTGAACTCTAGCAGCATTCTGTTTCCGACATCAGGTGAAAACATTGACGACCGATAGGATGGAAAAAGCGTTGGTAGTATTCTGTGGGCCGCCGACATTTCCCCCCATTTCAACTTCTTGGTTAGACCTAACACTTTCGTTTCGTTGTGGGCCAGTAAGTGACGTCCTGAGGATTAAACCCATACAAGATAAAGAGACACTGAAAGCACAACAGAGTAGAAGTATCCCATTCAGACGGTCACGTGGATCCGCTATTTCCTTAGCTTACGTGCCTCAGATTTTAACACCCAAGGTTTGGCCAAGCAATATAGAGTTTCGCCAGGCGAGCCAAGCGCAGCTAAAAATGCGAAAGCTGAGCATTCTCCGTTAGTGCTCAAGCGTGTAGGTATGTTTGCATTTGTTCATGCAAAAGATGGTGTTGTGTGGTATCTGCAACTCGTCAAATCAAGCCCGTTGGTTGGTTCGCCGATGCGGGGTGTTCCCCTCAATGTCTTGAAAAGCAATACTGGTAGAGCTGAAACCTTCCCTAGGTAGCAACATGATGGCTTGATCATGCCATTGATACACTTTCCATTATGCCCTTCAGCTTTGCTGACAGGCGAACGCCTTGTTGGTTGAAGTGCACATACCTTGTGCGGGGTTAGAAGTTGGAGGTATCTCAGATCGTGCATCGCCAAACATGTAGTGCTGAAGCGACATGCAGTGAGCTGAGCTGGAAATACCCACTACAATACTCATACGAGAGTTGAGAGCTGATCCCTGTCTACACTGCATCACACATCCAAGCTTTCCAAGAACTGTAACATATAAGTCCTGCTATCCTAAGCCATAGCGTCGTTCTCCTTCATCCAGAGACGATCAAATCCTTCAATTCTTTATTCTTACTGAAAAGACTTCATCTTTCGACTTCCTACTCAACCTTCATCATGGAAAAGGTCCAGCAGTATCCTATCTGCGGATTTGTACCTCCATACATTCTCTCGGCCATAGCCGACTCTGCCATCGCCAAATCTGATCATGTCGGAGAAAATTCTCGTACTGCTTGCAAACATACACTTGAACATGGAATGTCCTATGCCACTCAACGCCATGAGCTGTGCGCTAGAACTCAGGTTGGTCCTCCAGATGCTGGAAGAGGCTTCACCACTAAATGCGTTCTTCGCACAATTGCTGACTCCAAGTAATCCAGCAAACTCTGGCGACAGCAGGAGCTACACAGCCAGGCCCCATGCAAAGAAAGATCTATGATTGCAACAGAACCGACAATCTCCCTGGGGTTCTTGTTAGATCAGAAGGAGATGACCGCACTGAGGACCGCCAAGTCACCAATGTCTACGACGGATTCAAAATTACGCATGACTTTTTTTCGGAGATCTTCAAGCGCAACTCCCTTGACGGTGAAGGGTTGCATCTTATTGGCAGCGTCCATTACAGACCGAGAAGCACGCCAAAAGGATACAACAATGCCTTCTGGGATGGTGAAGCGCAGCAAATGGTTTTCGGCGATGGCGACCACATCACCTTTGACTTCCTCACCGACTCGCTGGATGTCATCGCCCACGAACTGAGCCATGGCTTCGTCCAGTTCTCCTCACCGCTTGTGTATAAAGGGCAGTCAGGGGCCTTGAATGAATCTTGTGCCGATGTGTTTGGTTCCATGGTCGAGCAATGCCATATGAAGCAGAGTGTGGACGATGCAGATTGGATTCTCGGTCAGACACTCTTCCCTGTCGCGTTTACAGGTTCTGCGCTACGAACTTTTAAGGCTGGGAAAGCATATACAGATGACCCTATCTTCGGAACTGACCCGCAGCCAAAGCACCTGGACAATCTCTACACAGGACCTGATGATAATGGAGGCGTTCACATCAACTCTGGGATCCCGAATCATGCCTTCTATCTGGCAGCGAAATCTCTTGGTGGGTTTTCGTGGAAAAAGGCTGGCAAGGTGTGGTACGAGACCATGATTTCAGGTAAAATTGAACCCAACTGCGATTTCAAGACTTTCGCGAGAGCCACAGTGGATGTCGCCGGAGAGAAATTCGACGATGAGTCGGTACAGAAGGCTGTTAATGATGCGTGGGTCAAGGTCGGAGTGCTCCCTTAAACAAAAGTCCAAGCTCGTGATTGTTGATAATATGAATGGTTCCATAACGTAAGCAAAAGCTGAGCTGTGCACCTTTGCGAAGGCGTTGCCTTGTCCACCTTGCGTCCTCATGTCTCAACCGGATGATGTTAAACTACTTCCTCGTGGAAACAAAATGATCATTGCTACTTGTTACGATGTTCCAACGCCACAAGGCTGTTACGATGAACGGAAAGGAGCTTCTAGAAGTGAGGCTTTCAAGTCATCGGCATACTCAAAATGGCGACCAAATAGCGATCAGCCGTCAAGTGCGAGGACCCAATCTAACCCCGGTTGATACAAAGTACTCCACAGTCTAAGTGATGGCGATAGAGTACGCACTGGTGGTCAACTTCGCGTTACTACCTGTAAACACCTCCGTTCCCGCCTGCACAGTCTGTAAGTACAAGCTATTCGTAAACCCGTTATTTGCGTAGTTGGTTACCAAGTACTTGAAAAACAGATTCTGCATCGCAAAAGTCAGCGTCTCCAACAAACTCCACTGCATCCACGCGAACAACTTACCAAGTCAGCGCTGAAGTTAGTGGCAGCGCCCCCTCGAGCCACGAAGCTGTATACTTTGACGGAGCCATTTAGACCGTACGCAAGGTCGAAGATCGTGCCACCAGCAGTTACGGTGGCAATAGGTGTGAAGGGATATCCATTCGAAGACAAGGGTGATACACCGCCGAATACACCAAGCCAGACCATGACTTCGAAGAGATTGGCGCCACTGGCTGATGCGCCGAGGAAGGTGTCATAAGCGACTACAAGATATAACATCCATATTAGCTTTTAGTCGCGTGAAGGAAATCAGGAAGAGTGCGCGAGGAGCATACCGTTGACCCGCAGATCCGTTCCAGTATAGCTCCACTTCCATACCGTCGGCATGCTTGTGTAAGCACTTAGCTGCTTCTTCGTGAAAGTCGTCTCGACGTTCGTGTAGCTCTTCACCTGGTTGGGTGTGCCAGACCAGGACCACGTTGTTGAGTAGGCCAGAGTGTTACCTGTCAGACTGTCGATCTGCGAACATTGAGATCCGGTTCCAGAAGACCAGCCCCAACCATTGGTGTAAAGCGTGTATGGACCGGAGGCTTGGGATTGGTATTGACCGCATTGAGCAGTGGCGCGAGGAAGGAGGTTGGCGGGTGCGGCGAACGCGGATGAAGAGAGTAGAAGAATGATAGAGGTGGAGAATAGCATGATGGTAGTCGACGTGTATTGTTGCGCTGAGTGGGAGAGGATGATCTGGATGAACAAAAGCAGATGCAAGCATCTTATATACCTTTCCAGACGCTCTTTTCATCCGTCTCGAGCGATGTTGCCTCCACATTTCACAATCACTCATCTCGTTTCGTACGAGATCATCAAGATTCAATGCGCAGTTCTTCCTTCCACATATTTCACACTGGTCACTCCTTACGCGCGGACATCGCCGTGTGCAGCACAGCAGTAGTAACGACCAATCGCACTGACCAACCCATGACCCATCATCGCGAAAGTCCGTAAGCCACTGACATAGCGAGTTCCCACCAGGCAGATATGGTTTTCTGACAGGAGCTTGTTCGAAGTCAATGTAAGCCACACCTGCTGCACGACATCAGCCGGTCCAATGATTCGCCTTCAGGGTCCACCAATATAGCTCGCATACTGCACGCGCGGGACGAACCACGATTGAAGGATCGAGACCGCGGTGTGGCGTCAATGGGTGACCGGGTAACGGGTACGAGGCCGGACCGGAAGACCAATAGACTTGCTTCTATAGAAACGTCGGGAAGGATATGTGCATCAGTGGCGTGGACTTCGTAGTCGACGTAAGATATTGGATGAGAAGATGGGCCCATCAAGTGGTTTGCCCGGATAAGGTATTGGAAGAGTGATACTAAAGGGGATTAGTTAGTAGAGAGTGAGTCTTTTGCAAGATGAAGAAGGGTCTAGCTCGGAAATCCATCTGCGCATCTTTATTGTAGAGGGCGATCTAGACCCTAGATCTATGAATCCCACTATTCCGGTACGGAAGCTAGTAACACCTCACGAGGCTGTCTTCACTCAATGATCATGCTGGCCATCATGCAGCATCTCAACGGCGCCTAGACGCCTCGCAATGATCATCTCTTCACACCCAACCTTTAGGACTGCACATCCCAAGGATAGGTCCTCTTGACCCACATGATATCCATCTGACTCGGCTTAGTCGCACGATTCAATAGCGTAGTCCCCTTTCCATGATCATTCCGATCGATATACTGCTGAACAGGACAGTCTTCGCCATCGTTGTTACAGTCTGGCTTCGCGTACCCACTCATGCTAGGATAGTGCATGATGCTTTCGAGGTCGTACCCGGAATTTGCTTTGATCGGCCAACCAGGCTCGACCATGTTCTTGATGAAGGAGGCGCAAGTGCATTGATACTTCAGAGCGCGGTACATGGAGAGGCAAAGGCCATCTTCGGTGATGCGGTCGCCTTCCTTCTGGCGGGCGCGAGTCCAACACTGCATTGGTAATGTTAGCATGTGAGAGAGCTTTCTTTACATGTGGGTGCTACTTGCGTCCTCCCAGTCGGCAAGTTGCTTGTACTGGACTTTGACATAAGTGTCGCGATCTTCGCGGTTGTGTTCATGCGCCTGACCTAGTAACTGTAAGTATTACCATCCGCAGTCTTCGCAGAGGACGTCATACCTAGTACGTGGCCAAGTTCATGCAGGACACCACCAAGCGTGAAGCCATCAGAAAGCCTGACGAGATTCTGCCAGGGCTTGCCGTTTTGCGTCAATCCAACGGAACCACCCCAGCCACCGCCATCCATGAACTCGATCGCCACTGTGTCATAGGGTATACCTGCGTTCCAGCCATCGCGATACTTCTTTACGGGTGCGCAGTACATTGGCTTTCCCTCGCTATCTAGGCGCTCTTTGAAGCTGATAGCATGGCCGGAGTCTTTACCTGCGGTACCACCAAGATACCTAAAGAAAAGGCGTTAGAGAGTCATCGCACCTCATATCAACTGGGCTTTTACATACTCGATCCATTTATCCATACCACCCTCGGTGATATGGCGGATGTTTTTGCGATCCCACTCCTGCGTGAAGCAGTACGGGATGACGACCTTGTTCTCCGAGTTGCGCGGCCAAGGAATTGGTCCGGGGTTAGCATTCCAGGCGTCAGTGGCGCCCTGACCATTCTGACCAGAGGTCTTTTCGAGCTCTTCGAAGTACTGCTCCCAACTAGTGGCTTTGGTACCGTTATCGTAAACTGGAGAAGGAGTGCCGCAGAAAGGACCGAAATTGAGTTGAGGGTCGCTGATGGCGATTGCGACCGCAAGGGCTGCGAGTTGTAGGAAGTAGAAGACAATCATACTCGTGGACATTCAACTCAAAGTGGGTGGAGGTGGACTGACTGGTAACGCGGCCAGGAAGAGAGTCGATTATACCGTGAACTGGCCAAGGCAGAAAGACTGCGAAGGACTGGTGGTACGTGCGGGTGGGTGCGTCACGACTGATGAGAGTGAGAGTGAGTGTAGAAATGCGCAACGACGTAGCTGTAGATGTAGCGGAGAAGGCGAAAGCGGCTGGCAATGACAACATAAATGGTGACCACAACATTTCCTCTGGTCAACTTGTAGCACTCTTAATGCAGAGAAGACCAGCAAATCTAACACGAACATCGCTGCCATGGCCCTATCAATGATCCGGCTCTTTCCTCCTCAATAGGGTAGTAAACGCCCTATATCTGAAGAGCTCACCCGCTATGTCTTTGATCGTCGTCGGTACTTGAAGCATCTTTCATCAAGCCTGAAACAAGGTTGGGGTTCAAGCAAATGATCAGTAACATAAAGCACCGAGCTCCAAAACGAAGGCCGGTTTCTAGATCCTCGAATAGTGTTCGACGGTCGTAGATTTACACATACATATAGACTTCGAGCGCAAGACGTTACCCAAAACTCTGGCTTCTAGTACAAGACACATGGTGTGAGCTAAGATCGCTCTCGGTTAGTGAGGGATGGGTTCGCTTTTGAATCGGAGATATCGCTCGATGGAAGTGGAGAAGCTAAAAGGATGGGCACGACCCTTTCATGAGGTCTTTGACGGAAGCCTGAGAGTCTGTCAGTTTGAGTGACAGCAATAGCAGTGTTGAACGTTCTCACGTAAACAATAAGACGCACGCTGCCAGTCGGTTGACGAATTACGAACTACTGTGATTGACGTAGTTGCCGAAGCTGAGTTAGTCCTAGATGTGAGCTTTGGTTGGAAAACATCGATACAATGCAGGATCGGATAGCAAAAACTCAATCATCCGTAACCAGCAAACAATTTCAGCGCCTATGTTGTTATTTGACGCGTCGAGCTATATTACTCAAGATTTCGCTTGCGGAATCTATCGATTGATCATACTATGTAGGATGATTAACGTGCTCGTGTTCGGCAAATGCCCCACCACCTACACATCTGTCGCACCTCTACCACACGACACTATAGAGCGACACAATAGCTAGAATTGTGCAAACTCGAAGTGAAGCAGTAAACACGGCAATGCGATCAATTTCTCCTACCTTAATGTTGCTGGTGATTGCCTCTAGGTGTAAACAAGAGGACTAGTGGTGGGGCGATGATGCAGTTGCCACCAAGTTAAAACTGCGGCTGAGACAAAGGCTCGACATCAAGTCGTAGGTGGTGGCGTTGTGCTCCCATGATCATACGGCATTGGTAATTCTGGCTTTCGTGAAGCATGATATTGTGCCCGAAAGGTTTCGAATGCGTGCCTGTCCAAATATTTGGGGCGTGAAGCGACGGTCAGACCGTATTGATGCGCAAGGCTGAGAAGGTCGGACGCCCGGAAGAGAGGCCATCTTTCTGCGCAGGACGTTCACGAACTTCAAAGCCACCCGGGATTCAGCACAACACCCTCTGCCTGCTTTTTGGCTTGTGGCTTGAAAGCCATCCAATTATCGTAAGCTCTGCACCCTCTTCGGTAATCCAACCACCGATGTTTCTCTTGCATAGCTCTCCTTGCGTCCAATAGGCTTAGCAGAGGCCTGCGCGCTTACCTGCAGGCCTCTTAGATACACGTACTTTGTGCTGTGGTGTGCCATCATATGTCTCGATGATATGTGCCCACATGCATTTCGCCCGCGTCTGCCTTCGAATTCCCTCATTCTTGCGTTCATGTTTCCACAGGCGTAGATACGAACGGGCGACTCGTGCCGTCCCGAGAAGTTGAGATCCGTACAGACGTTATTAGCGACACCTGCTTCGCTATCTAGTAAAAGAAAATAGGAGGAAAACAAAGTGTACGGGCATCGGCATACCTCACGAGGCTGAAATCAATACTCGCAGCAGTCCCTAGTTAAAGCGCTAATCTTACATAGCCAAAGCGCCTTGAGGGCTATCCTCCACGCGGTGGCGTTCATTTCCGTATTCGCGAGGCTCTTCTTCCCTCGATCACGCGCGCGCGCAGAGTGGTTATATGAGGTTTCTACTCCTGTTGGTAGGTTCTGCAGATTTCTTGTGCATCCCTCAGCCTTGTGTACCTCTTTCACAACTTCACCCAACAACTTCCGCTTGTCGACCGCAGCATTACAACAGAACAGCACATTCAAACCAAAGGTGTCGACAAACGCAGACAGGGGGGCTGCGCAGCTGTGATGGTCGTCGACTCGCACCCAACCTCCTACTCGACGTTGCTGAAGTTCAACGACGTAATATCTCCATGGATAGTAAGAAGCTCACTATTGATCTTAGGCGAGCCTTAGAAGATCAAAGGGAAAAAGCGATGCGACGCAATAAACTGGTTCACAGAGGAGGCTACATCTCGAACGATTTTGTTCAAAAACTGTTCACTACAGAGAGACTCACGCGCCAGGTGCAACTGAGTACATCTCCACAATCTCCGCAGGAACTACAGGACCTCGTAAATTTTATCGAGAAACGCGCAACGAAGATTTTCGCGATCCTCCTTCTGATCGACCAGGACGGCCTGATAGCAGGCTTGTACGGACAACGGCCCGTGGAGGATGACCGTTCGCTTTTCAATAATGCAGATGCCGCCGCGAGCAAACCTTACTGCACAATAGAGAGGTTGCAGAAAATCCCCCCGTTATGTGCAGTAGCGGAGAAAGTCTACAAAACCCAATGGGTATTTCCTGCAGTGCTTTCGCCGAACGTTCACCTCGATTTCGACCCAAAATTCTTCAAGTTTCCGTTCCAGACATCCTCTACAAGGATTGGGTCTGGTGCATCCGGACAAGTGCATCGAGTGGTGTTCGAGAAAGGTTACCTTAAGGGCTTGGATGACCGTGATATAGTAAGCATCGCCGTCTAGGATTTGGTATCCTAGTATTATCGTTGCTAATCCAAGCAGATCGTCGAAGTTGTGTACAAGAGGATACGCGAGAACGATCAGCGTCAGGACGACATGAAAAGAATAATGAAAGAGATGACGTTCTTAAGACGCCGCCAACACGGCAACATATCACCATTGATCGCTAGCTTTACTGCTGGCTTAGAGCAACCCACGAAGCCAGAGGACATGACAAAATGTTTGTATTTGCTGTCGCCACGAGCGGACATGGACATGCAAGTATGGTTGGATCGTGAACCAGACTACATAGAAGAGACCTACTCCGATTTATGGGACACCCAAAGCTTCAAGAACCACATATTCGATTCTATGCGAGGACTGATTTCCGGACTGGCTTACATTCATCAACAGATCGGTGAGCATATCGGATATCACGGGGATATCAAGCCGAAGAACATCCTGAAGTTCCACTCGGAAGGGAAGCTGGCCTGGAAAATTTGTGACTTTGGCACTTCGAACCTCAAGACGATCGATGACACAGCCACTCGGAGTTGGGAAACTACCCTCTATTGGGCGCCAGAAGAGTTCTCCGTTGATACGTCAGAAGATGAGAATCACGGTCGGTCACACGATGTCTGGTCGCTGGGTTGTATATTCCTTCTCCTAGCCACCGTACTGGAATACAGATGGAGCCCTAAAGGGCTAAAAGAATTCGAAGGACTCCGTGCCAATGGTAGCACGAACATGTTGGACCATGCTTTCAGCAAGTGTCGTCCTCAGATTACTACCTGGATAGCCCAGCTCAAGGACAAATGTAAGGAGTCCAAGGAGCTCCAAGAACTCCTTGATCTCATAGCAGCGATGTTGGAGCCACGCGAAACTCGAATCTTCTCATGGGAAGTGGCAGTCGATCTCTACACGATCACAGATCCTATGAGAACGAAAGAAGAAACTTTGGATCATCTTGGCCGAGTGATTCAAAAAGCGAGATCTGCGGACCTGGAGCTGAAACACAAACCAATGGCTCGAGCCAGGGAAGATTCTAGAAAGGATGGAAGGTACCGCAGAATTTTATTGGAACATGGATGGTACGATGATAAGACGACTGAAAGAGAGAAGAGAGCATGTGCTGCTGAGCGCTTTGTGTCGACCCTTCCCACACCTGGAACTGGCGATCGTATATTCGGAATGGATGGAGTTCTTGAAGACATACGTCAACGATTTGAGAAAACGGATTTCTTAGCGCTCGTTGGATTGCGAGGTGTTGGGTGCGTACAACAGGTTGCCGTCTGCTGACTATCCTGGACTCAACTGATCTTATATAGGAAATCACTGGTTGCCCTTCATCATGCTGATCGTGCTAGCAAGCAGTATCAGCAAAAGTCTCCTCCAGAGAAGAATGTCTTCTGGGTAAGCGCGCATAACATCGAAGATTTCCACGACTCATACGCAGCCATCGCAGCCAAGTTTGATGCCGACAATGCAGGACTTCGCCCACAGGAAAAGCTCTGGGAGTCTGTAAAGCGTCGTCTTGAGCGTAAATCCACAAAAAAATGGTTGATGGTTGTTGACGGACTTGATCATGATTGGGAAACCCGAGTCATCGGACCCTTCTTACCCCGTACGAATGGCCAGATCTTGTTTACCACGCGAAACTATCTCCTGGTCAAAGATCTGGTGGTTTGGGAGCAGCGACGGGCCTACATCGAGATGCAGTCCCCTGACAGTTCGACAGCCATGAAGCTATTCCGAACATATGTCGACAACACACTCTTTGAAAATAGTAGTAAAAACGCCACACGACTCTTAGAAGAGTTCAACTGGCCGGAGATGATACGACGAATATCGCGATACATGAATGATAGGCAGCTGACGTGCAGCGATATGTATGACATCCTCAAGAAGAGAAAATATGAGGAAATGGAACGACTTCTGCCAAGCTTTGCCGAGCATCTGCTCATTCCTACCATAGGAACCTCTCTACGAGAGGAGAACGAGCGGTCCGATGAACTAAGACTTCTGTTGTTGCTCTGTTTGTTCGACAACGAGGTAGGGCTCGATCTAAAGCTCATTCAAGTGGAGTACGATCAAAAAGACTATCGGCGAGTAGAAGATTGGCTGGAGAAGTTGCTTGCTTGCTGCTTCATTCGCAAACAAAATAAAGATCCCAAACACTCGGTGTACTTGGTCGACAAAACTGTACACCTAGCTGTGCGGACGTGGATGGAGATCAACGAGACGCCGACCCGCAAGCTTGAACGGTACAACAAAATCCTGTCTATGCTGTACAGAAGCTACGATTCTAGAAAGAGAAAGGAACAGAAAAAGAGGAAGCGCAAAGCTTCGAGAGAACAAAAGCCATTTGCCAGTTTTAAGGACATTCTCATACCACATTTCAACAGTTTCGTCGAATATGTCAAAACTGTTCCAGAGCAGATTGATTTCCCACTATATGATCGAGCTGTTCAGGCGGTCCTGATGTTCTCAGATGTTCTCTTGCACGAAGGCCACGTTGAGACTGCTGTCGTGGTTCTAGAGTTTACCAAGAGACACTTCAAACTGGACGGCCTTCAAAGGTCACACGAAGATGAAAAGGAGGAGGACATCCGAAGCACGGATAAGAAACAACTGGAGATTGATGAGAAAAAGCTGAGGCGCCGACGTAGTGTATACTTCCAGCTTGGCAAACTTCTAGCGAAGGCTTATCGCCTTCGAGCGAAAGACGAAAAGTCGCGTGAACTCCATTACTTCAAAGAAGCAGAAAAGCTGATTGATTGTTTGCAGCGGAAGATTGCAAGCGGCGATGACACAGTGGTGTGGGCAGGGAGGGAAATACGTGCGTGGGAGTTAGAACTAGAAATGATACGCGTGTTCGGGGAGAGCAAACAATTCGACAAAGCCTGGACTAGGTTCAAAAGTGTTTCGAATATCGGGGTAAAGGTCAAAAACCACGAAGCAGTGCTGCCGCAGCCTATAGGTGCTTCGCATAGTTCAAAAGACGAACAGGAGCTGCGTAGACTTGCAATCCGAGCAAAACGGGAGGAGTGCTTACTGAACTTCGCTCACGGGCAGAAACACGACTTCAACGACAAGAAGAGGATGGCGAGGCGCAGTTGGAAAGCTGCACACGATGCCTGTATCTGCTCAAAGATCGCTGTGCAACAATGGTTTTCCACGGACGATACGTTGAACTTTGAGATTGAGGAGGACGAAGCGAAGATATTGGTGAGGCTTGGCAGCAAGGAGAACTTAGACACTGCCGAGATGATCTTCGAGAGAGTCTTGCGTTCATGTTCTGAAGGAGGTGAGTATGCTTGCGAACACAAAGCCTGGGATATACAATCTAGACTTGCTGAGATCAGGCTCAAGCGAAGGAACCCTGGGGATCTTGAGAGCGCTAGGGAGTCGTTGGAAGAGCTGGTAAAGGTTACTCGCGCTTCTCTTGGAGTTCAGAATGTTTTGACGGACCGTTGTGCTGAACTATTGATCGAGGCACTCAGAGCGAAGAGGAAGACAAAGAAAGCTGTAGAGCTTGAGAAGGATACAAAGGAAGCTTTTGAGCTCGAGAAGGAATTTGGTAAATCACCTCGCTTCGAGAAGCACTCCCAGTGGACTAGATGGCTGCAGGAAGGGACGAGAGAGTTTTGGTATCATATACTTGGCTTCGGTGTTCTTGTGATGATAGCCTGGATGCTAGGAGTGTAGCCTTAGTCTTGCGTATCACAGTATCGCCGTTATGTAATGCAGTGTCGACAATGATTGCTTGTCGGTCCGTACATGACAGCGCGATAAGAAGGACCCAATGCCAGTTTGGGGAGTGAGTAAGCGCAAAGAACAGCAAGAATGGTAGATATTTGCATTCCATGAACTACTAATAAGTTGTAGAAAAGTGTGTACAGGAGAAATGAAATGGATGCTAGCACACGCGTAGAAACAGATGCTAGAGGCGCTCGAAGCGCGCGAAATATGCCGTGCGCCCGCCCAATGGATGCCGTATACCTGCCCAATATATGCCCTGACCCAAGCGCCGATGTATGCTCTGATGCTGCATGCCATCTTGTTTCCACGTAATGCCCACCCGTAAACTAGATGCAGATCCTCTTGCCGGTATAAGGGTATTCGCAGTACGCTGCACGAAGCTCAACGCTTGTGATATTGGTAAAAAGTATGCTGATCATCGTGAATCGAGGCGACGCTCGATGTCGAGGGCGTTGGAGAGTATGGCTCGAGCTCGTTGCGGCGGTTGCATTTGGACGAAATGCTCGGCGTGGACGATGAGGGTATAGCGCCCGAGCCGCTAGCGGCAACAAGTGGATCAATGTGGAGCGTAGGTCGAGGACGTCGTTCGGAGATGGAAATCGAGGGTGTACGAAGAGAAGATCGTTTGACTAGCTCCTCAAGTCTGTGGGGCTATCGTTAGTACATTTGCGACCGCCAAGCGGACTGGCATACCTACAAAGCTTTCAGGAGCTGTTCAGGTACAGGACCGACCTCGGGCTGGAGCATAGTTGAGACCAGAGACCGGGGCGAGTCTTCCGACAGGTGGTCACCATCATCTTGAGGTAGAATCAGATGCAGGCGTGCCCTAGAGAAGGGACAGCGGATATATTGCGTTACCGCAGCTGGGTGGGTGGCAGCTCGTCTTATCGGAAACTCCTCGAACTGGTCCAGGACAGCCATGTTGCGAAAGAGTGGAACCGTATCGTGCAAGCGGCGGGTAGTAGTGCGAGGAGCGCGGCGCGATCGCGGCGACAGCTTGGTAGCTCACGCAGGGACGGGGAGTCGAATGCAGGGAATGATTGGACTTGGAGGTTGATTGAGCGAGTGGAGGTTTAGCAGCTCCACTTGAGAGCTGGACGGACCTTTCCCGACTGCGTCTCCGCCGTCAGGAACACGCGGTGGGTAGTGTTGTCTACAGGGACTTGTGTTCGTGGAAGCACTGTTTCGTGCCTGAGCTTTGGTGTTGTTACACCCCCAATGACGTCCACGCGGCGGCACATCGGAGTTGCGCCACCCGACTCAATAATTCAGTTGCCCATCTAGCACACAGCCCAAAGCCACAAGCAAACAGCATATCGTTCCTAGAGCACGACTAAATCCCTTATTGACTTCTATGAACACGTCCTCGACACGTGTTTGATCGCAAAACAGTGCATGCAAAATTCGAGTCGTGCATCATCGCATTGCACATCTGCCAGACTCCTAACACAATACATCGCAACCTGACTGCCTTTCAAGTACGTAACAACAAGTCCTCGACCCCGAACGATTCTGGATAGCCTGGCGCATCGTCACGCTCAACTACATACTTTCTGCCATTCTCAGTTGTCCCAGTAATCTCCAAGATAGTCCCTTTCTGCCAGTATTCTGGTATGGTTAGCTTTGATGTTCAACAACAGATGCCAAAAGACTACGAACCTTCCAGCCAGTACCAGACTTGAGCATCGACCTTGAATGTACTGGATACACAAGAATTCTTTGGAAAGTCATTCTTCGCCATAGTCGCAACACTTCAATATGCTGCGGTGTATATAAAAAATTGGGTTCTCAAGGCTGGAACAATATAGGACAGGTTGGGTCGTGACTGTTCAGGCAGTCCTAATCGTAATGGCGCTGTCTTGAAATGGAACAATCTGAGCGAGGTAGGTTGTATTGTCACCAAGAAGCGTGTGTCCTGGCTATCAATATAGCCTGCTCAAGGCGTACTGCAGCCTAGCTCTGCCCGCTTGATTCAGCCCGTGTCAGTCTTTTCTGCCCACCTTCTTGACAGCCTTGATGCGGACAGCTACCTCTGAGGTGTCCGCAAAACAAGGCGATGATCTGCCGCGGCAGACTGCACGGCTGATCGCACGGCGAATGAGCATAGGTGGGGCGCCCACCCTCGCTGCGCATCGAAGGACAGCTCCCAAAGTTTTCGTGTTACTTCTACTGATCACGTGTTCATTGAGGCTGAGCTGAGTCGAAACGCCCTCCAGCCTTCCGCACCGCACCCCAAAATGTCGTTCCGATACCCAGGTGTTTCATGCCAAGGACAATCTGCTCATCATACTTTCATGCAGCGATAGAGCTCTGTTAGCAACACATATGGACCCACTTTCAGCATCGGCCAGCGTTCTGACTGTACTGGGGGCTGCCGCAGGTACCTGCAAAGTTCTCTACGACTTCATCATCGAGTTCAAGGACGCCCCCGAAGAGATAAAATGGCAAAACAGAAAACTTCGGCGGTTGGAGGAGAATATCACTTGCCTCTTAAAGGTCTGCGATAAGCTGCCAAAGGAATTGCAGCTGGCTACACATTTCCATGGTATACAGGAGTTCGTCCAGGAGGTCAACACCATCAACGTAGATATCGAGAGAAGAAAGGATTTATTAGGTCGTGGGAAGACAGCTCGCGTCAAGGAAATCTGCAAGTGGCTGCTTCTTGATCGGCATCTAAGACGGTTCTTTGACAACCTGGAACACTATAACACTATCTTATCCCATGCGATAAGTGCAGCCCAACTGTGAGTCCAACTCTAAGCTTAATAATCTCCGTTACTGACAGTACTATCAGTTCCATGTTAATGCATATATCGGGACAGATAACAGAAACGCGGCAAACGCAGATTTGTCCCCAAATCCATGATCACCACGATATTGTGCCGAAGATAGATTCTACTTTGCAAGCGGTCGCTATCGGACATGACCTTTCCAGACCAGGCATCAGAATATCTCCACACGAGCAGCGCCTCCTTGCCCGATTACCCAAGTATGTCGAAACGCTTGGTCTATTGCTTCATCACCGATGGGAGCTTGGCCTCGGCGCGACGATACTGAATGTTCGGAGTGGACCGACAATAACAAGACGATGGTCTCAACAGGGTCAAGATCGCTTTTCTACGGAAGGACGAACTCTGGCGATGACAATCGATTGCACTCGTTTCATGCGCCAGCGTTTCACATTGGTGATTGGCGCCATGTATCATGCATCGTCGATGGTGAAGCTAAGTTTAAGACTGGATCTGAGCTTATCATCTCTGGTGTCATCAAACAACTCAATCTTCAAAGCAATCGAGGTAGGCGATACTGATCACCTGAAGCATATGATGACGACCGAGCAGTTGTCCATGTCCGCGGTCACACGCGGTGGCTATACTCTCTTGCATGTAAGTAACAGAACCCGGAACTACCGATTTGATTCCTGACTTGATGTAAAGTGTGCGGCACGTTATGGTCGACATGACATATTATCCATTCTCGTTGACAACGGAGCAGACATCAACGTCACAAACGACCGGGGCGAGTATGTAGCACGATTGGCAGAAAACAACGACTTAGCTGATGTTTCCAGGACACCCTTACATATCTCTATGAAACAAGGTCGTGACCACGCATGTACGCGGCATCTTCTTGAGCTCGGTGCAAATCCCAGTCAGCCGGACGCTGAGGGCCGAACAGCTTTACATATGTTTTACAACGCTTGCTCAGCTTATATGTTCTTGTATCACCCAGAGGATATCGATACGTGGGCGCAGGACAAAACAGGAAAGACTGTCCTTCACTACATGGCATGGAGTAGCCAATCCGCTGCACAAGAGTTGATACGGTGTACTCGGACAAAGGAAATGCCACAACTCTTGGTCAAAGATCTACAGGGAAAATCGATTCTCCACTACGCTACACAGCGAGGCAACATTGATCTTATCGACTTTCTTCTGGCTCGTCCAGAAGTTGCTACTTTGTGCATGCCTGACTACTATGGCCGAACCCTATTGCATCACGCGACAGAGAGCGGTCGGGTCTCCACGATTGATCTCTTCCTTGCTCGCGATTTCGACCCTGACGCCTTGGATAATAAGGGTCATACGATACTCCATCACGCATGTCGGTGGGGAAATGTCAAAGCGGTCAAACACCTTGTCGACCTAGGCTTCACATATCAGCTCGACGTCGTCGACCACGAAAAGCGAACGCCATTTCAACTGGCAGAGTATTACAGATCTAAAGCAGTCATACTTTATCTACAACAATTGCGGCCAGACAAAGGAGCCAGCTTCGAGAAGCGCGACAAGATCACCGTCGTGACTGAGCCGTCAGATATAGTGAAGCTCAAGCTGCTGCTATCATCAAAAAACGCTCTCGTCCTTCTGCTGCTAGTGTTGTTCATACTGTATGGATTTTGGAGGTACCGGTGACGTTCTGTAAGAGCGATCGTGGCAATGGTGGATCGCCCGTGCTAGGGCGCCCAAATCCTGGCTGGTGATAATACCAACGTCCGCGGATGGAACTACTCACGAAGCGGTTTGATATGCGTTTGAAAGGTACACCTACTCACGAGAACGTTGGGTTCATCCGCTCGGTGTTGGCACCGAGGTTTGCCAAGCCCCAATCCGCGCACATGAAAAGACCCTCTGCCTTCCCGATCTTCCGGCTTGCCATACTGGAGCTCCTTCCTAGATCCTCACTGTGCTAAGACTTGCGAACGATACCCGACATCACAAACTACTGCAGTATGAGTTGTGTATGGGAGGGACGATATCCCAAAGATTCTGTGCCATTCCTTGACAAAGCGCTGTCTATCATCATGATATCCCAGGTACAGTCCGATTCTGATCACTCTTAGCAAACGAGCAAAGCACAGTGAAGAGGCATACCTCGAATGCGAACGGAGGCAAGCTAGTGCGTGGTATATATGAACGGGCTCCATCGGAAGTATGCAGCGAATA